TCAAAATTTCAGCTTTCTAGCGCCTCAGAACCCCGAGTTATGAATTTACGCGGGAAAAATTTTGACAGGCTCGTACGTGGGTACCACGCGTATCCAGAGGTTGGGTTTGAGCTCATTAGTACCTACTTGGACGAGGAACATTTCCATAAAATTCCAGCTCTCTAGCTTTTCTGGTTCGCGAGTTAGCAGCTTACTCGTAAAAAACTTTGGCGGGCTTTTATTTGGGTACCACGCGGGAAAGACCGTCCATTTTGGGGATGGGAGCCCGCACGTGCATGTAGATTAAGTCCTCAAAGTTTTAGCCCTGTAGCTTTTGTGGGTCTCGAGATGAAAAACCGGTAGAGACGCGCAGCGCACACACAGACACAGACACACACACACACAAAAAAAAAACCTCGCGTCAATATGTGTTTTTCGCATTGCATAGCTGCAAAAAACGCATAAAAATCATTGGTGACGCACACCGGGTGAACCCGTGCGATCGTACGTTTTTGCAGTGTTTCGTGCTGTGATGAGATCGCTCCGAAATCCAGTGGCTAGAAATGTATGACATACTAGTCCTCGAATTTCGGAAGTTATTTATCAACGCTATACTTAGACAGGGGACGTTCCTTTAAAATCTCAGGCCTTAACTTTCAAGTTACTCATATTCCCGCCAAAAATTTTCACGGGGCCTTACGTGAGAACCACGGACGGAGAGGGGCTGAATTCAGTACCTTTAAGTCGTACATGTGCTGGGGACATTCCCTGAAAATTTCAGTCTCCCAGCTTTCCTAGTTCCCGAATTAGCCATTTTCCTGCCAAAAATTTCCATGTGGAAATCACACACGCCTGGAGGCTGAATTTAATAAATTTTAATTGCATATGAATTGGGAACATTCCCTCAAAATTTCAGCTTTCTAGCTTTCTTGGATTCCAAGTTAGCGATTTTCCCGCCAGGAAGCTTCACGGGGCCGTATGTGAGAACGGCGCATGTCTGGAGGCTGAATTTGAAATCTCTGTGTTTTATTTGGACGGGGAACATAACTATAAAATTTCAGCTTTCTAGCTTTTCTGGCTCCCAAGTTAGCGATTTTCCTGCCAAAACTTTGAGGGCCTTGTGCGCTGAGCCTAGATGTGTGTGAAGGATGGTATCGCGGCCCTGGGGTGGCACTTGGCCGGAGAACCCACTGGCAAAATTTTGGCGCCGGGGCTTGCTTGAGTGCCGAGTTGAAATACCCGGACGGACGCACGCACACACGCACACCCACGCACACACACACACAAACAAACACACACACAAACACACACATATATACACACACCGGGACCGCCACAATATGCGTTCTCGCATTTGCACATATACAAAAACGCATAATGATCGGGGGAAAAAAAACCCAGCATGGAACGCACCGGACGGGCCCGTGCGATCATGGGTTTTTGCACCGGACTTGAATTACTCAGGTCATTAACTGTTCGAATTGCTATTGCTTTACACCTGCCTTTTGCGGTCACTAGCATAAATCACCATAAATTTTGCAAAGTAAATGTGCAATTTTCACTTAACATTCGTTCTTTAAAAGAAACCTAGTTGTTCAGTGAGAAATTTTTTCGTCAAGACTTTTAAGTGCCCGTACGTAAGAACCACGCCATACTTCAACTGAATCTGGAATACTTAAGTTGTTCTTGGACAGGGAACACTCCCTCAAAATTCCAGCTTTCCAGCCTTTCTGGTTACCGAGTTAGCAGTTTTCCCGCTAAAACCTTCACATATCCGTACTTGTGTACCTCACGTGCTTGGAAAGCTGGATTTGATATTTTTAAATTGCACGTGGGCAGGGAATATCCGCCTAAAATTTCAGCCTTCCAATTCTTCTGACTGCCGAGTTAGCAGTTTTCCTGCAGAAACTTTCATACGCTCATGCGTGACTACAATGCATAGCTTGGGGCTGATTTTGAAATATTTGAGTGGCACTTGAGTGGGGAACATTGCCCCAAAATTTCAGCTTTCTAGCTTTCCTAGTACCCGAGTTAGCAATTTTCTCCCTAAAACTTTTATACTCCCTGCAGCGTGTACCATACATAGCTTGGGGCTGAACTTGAAGTATCTGAGTTGTACTTAGATATGGAACAAAATTTTAGCTTTCTAGCTTTCCTGGTAACCGAGTTAGCAATTTCCCTTCTAAAAATTCCATACGCCCCTACTTGAGTACTACGCATACCTGGGGGCTGATTTTGAAATCTTTAGCTAGTAAATGCATAGGGAATATCCCCACAATGTTTCAGCCCCTTAGCTCATGTAGTTCCCGAGATCGAGTTCCCGCCAAGAAATTTGCATATTTTTT